GGTTAGAGTTGACGGGAAAAAAAATTGATTAGGCTAAACACAGGGAAATCCTGGAAAAAAATCTGTTAAGAGAAAAATCCAGAGGAGGAACAGATGGACAATCCCCCTAATTATAAAGTAATTTGTTACATTGGTTCAGTTCAAGGCTCTACACCTAATCACGGTTAGAGTCAAAGCTTCCAGACTCCAGATGTGCAGGGTCCAAATTTGAAAAACTGCAGGAATACTTTTACAAGGCATTGCTATCTTCCTACAAGTGGCGTTAAGCTGTTTAGGTAATGTGATATGACTAACCTGTGAGAGAACGTATTTTTGGAAAGATTGAGAAAGGAAAGATCAGCGCAACACCCCCTCAGAAGAGCCCCAAACAGCTGCATAAGACACATGGTGGAAATAGTTAATCTGGGCACAGAGAGAAGCGCATCTACTTTTCACATGAAATGTCTGATCAGATCCTGACATTTATACTCACAGAGTCAACAGTACAGTCTGTGCATGATAGATCCAAGTGGACCAGGCAGTTTGGCTGAGACAAGAAGAGATAAAGGTTCTGCAAATAGAAAGACAGATGGGGGGTGACAGTTTAGGCTGGAGAAAAGGAGAACAGCGTGTTCTGGTTTAGATGGATTGTGCTGTCTGACCGAAGCATCATCCCCTGTGAGGACCCCGGGGTTTTTGCTTAGGTCCAGGTGCAGAAGAGAGTTGGAGTATTCATTGTTGGAGCAGAGAGCCTGAGAGAGAGACACCACACCTGAGAAAAGGAGACAAGCAGAGACAGAGGGGTGCAGATGGAGGAGCAAGAGAGAGAGAAACAGAGAGATTAAAAAATAGGGGAGATAAAAGGCTTTGATATGAAGAGGCTGGGAATGCTGTCAAAACATTTACATTATTACATTATTTATACGGATTTATGGAAGTAAATATGTGCCATCAGAATTTGAATAAAAAATACCTCTGAAATTTGAATGTTGTATATTAGTGCTTACTTTTTCAGTATTAAATTATATTTAGAATATATTTTTAACCTAAAAAAAATTCAATGTCATTATTTGTACATTAAAAAAAAA